AGCCGGCTGAAGTCTGTTGTTGGGAGTGACAAGTACGACTTAGTCGTTAAACGGCCGTAATCGCCTCCAGCTAGTGTGTTTCGTAGTTACCCATTGTCGGCTGTGGATCCGCAAGTTGTATGGAATTTGTACTGCCAACGCCACAGACAGCGACGGCGGTGGAATTTGGTAATTAGCTGCTTCGTTAAGGATCTCCTGCGTTCTTCTCGCATGGGACGTCCGATGACAGCTTGCATAAACCCCTAAACCCCTAAACCCCTAAACTTTAAACCCCTAAACCCTAATGAAACCCAAAACCCCAACCCTTAAACCCTAAATCCATAAACCCCTATAAACCCTAATGAAACCCCTAAACCCTTAAACCCTAAATCCATAAACCCCTATAAACCCTAATGAAACCCCTAAACCCTAAATATTGAGCTCCAGATCTCCAAGGCAATCTGGTCTACGCGGGCTCCTTGAAGGCCAGCTTAGAGGCCAGACTGGATGTGGGGAGTTCTCTAAATTAGGGTCCCTTTTTAGGTCCCCAATATAGTACGGCACCCTTATAAAAAGGAGCCTAAAAGGGACCCCAATTTAGAAAACTACCCATGCGCACGACGTTTGCCCAGGGCGTTTGGGTTGTTTGTGGGGTTTGGCGGGGCCTTTAAGTATTTACTTAGGGTACTTGAAAACCAATCTTATTTGTTGGTTACCATAGTCCCCAAGAAAGAGCTAAAATTACATGTTTGCAAAGGTGCCAAGATCACAGTATAGCTTAAGGCTTGTCACATAAGAGAGGGGCTTTGTTCAGGGCCAGGGGTTTAGGGTTAAGGGTTTCGGGTTTAGGGTGTAGGGGCTGCTACAGGGCTTTATAGGGTCTTATGGGTGTTAAATTTCTCGAGCTCTGTGTGAAACCTGCTGGTGACCAGACAAGCGATTTGCAGGTTTTTCAGTTGCTGGGACACGGGGCTTTCCAGGGCTGTCTCGGGCTTTAGAGTGCTGCAGGGTTTCACTGAAGTTCCAGGTCTTTCGGACTACAGAAGGATGATTTGGGCAAGGGCCATACATATTCGGACCGAGACCTTCTTCAAGTTCTGGTTTAGGGTTTAGGGGTTCAGACTTTAGGGTTTAGGGCATAGTCATATACTCTCCAGAAAACTAAGCTACATGATCGGAAGAATTAATAATAGTAGTTCCTTGTAGACAGGGCCCCATGCAACCTAGAACATTCTGATTTTTCAGGTCCCTAAATGTTTTGCTATACCATGCATTGCTTGTGTTGCAACTTGCTGCTACATAAGCCGAGATATTTCAATGTGGAGCACTCCGCACTTTTGGCACGTGTTCAGGCAGTGTCATCGTAGGTGACAGCCGGGTAAACATTATTAGAAAGGAACGGGGGGGCGGGGGTCTAGTTCGAGGCCTCGTCTTCAGGCGTTGGGCACTGCTGCAAGCCAACATGGAAAACGGACCCTCATGCTATACTATACCATACGACGCCATACTATGTTGTGCCCTCAATCTTGAAACCCAAAGTCCTTCCCGCTTGCAAATTCTTAACCGTCTTAACCCCATATACCCCGGCTTTAAAGCCTGAGCCGCCCTGAACCCTATAATCCGTATAAGCCCTCTGCACCCTAAATCCTCAACCCGAAGCCTAACGTCTGAGCTCTCTGAACTGACACACCCGCGGAAGACGGCCAGGTTGAAGTGCAAGGAGGAGGCATTAGCCAGCTCTCTGGCTTTATATTTAGGGCGGCTTGAGGTTAGGGCGTTTGGCTTTATATTTAGGGCGGCCTGAGGTTAGGGCGTTTCGAGCTTAGGGTGCAGGGTTTCGGATTTTCGAGTTTAGGGTGCAGGGTTTCGGGTTGGAGCTTGAGGGCTTTTGGAGGGGTTGGAGTCGGGGCTGGTGGTGTGTAACTGGTGAGTGCATGTCCAGCCGGGCTTGAAGCAAGCAAGATTGGGGGATATGCGTCGAAGTCTGCTCTAACCTGTGTAGAGGGTTTTAGGGTTTAGGGTTCAGGGTATAGACTCACACCTTTGAAAAAGCCCAAACCCCCAAACTGGCCCTTATAGTAGCCCTTGACTTCCAAGCCGCTGAGCCCACAACCGTTATGAAACCCTCATACATCTGTTTCAAGACTCGTAAGAACCGCTGAAATGACCCCTCAGACACATCTTGTGGAACTTTCTTACTGTTGATGATATAAATCCTGCATTTCCTTAAGGACCCGATACTATGGGAATTATGGCATATTGCTTATTATGGGTAATGCAGATTTATATCATCAACCTCAGTTCGAACCCCCATGGAGCCCCCCCGGCCCCCCGCCCTCCGAATCCCTCACCCAAGTTCTTAATTTAGGGTTTAGGGTTTAGGGTTTAGGGTTTATCTTGCCCAGCTGAGCGCAGGGATCAGAGTTTCTGAGGTGCTTGATACTCTAACCCTAAAGCTGAACGTTCCGGATTCCTAGACCCAAAACTTAATAAGAGCCCGCAAGCACTGCAGATTCTGAAGATCCAAGAAAAGATAAAATTTCAGAAAAAGAACCACAGACAAACACAAAAGAAGCAGAACCGGTGGCCGTGGGAGGGAGGTTGCTTGTATTTGTGCATTGGTGTGTTTCCTGGGCGTTATTTTTGTGTTGTTTGTCTATCTTGTGTGTGTGTGTGTTTATCTGGTGTTGTTTGTGTTGTGTGTGTGTGTTGTGCTGTTCTGTGCTTTCCTTCGAGAAACATAACAAATAAACAAACAACCAACAATGAGCCTCAGGAGAGGGTGCCGTTTGCTGTGTTTATTTATGTGTTGATGTTGTGTTTACGTGTGTTTTGTTGTTTTTCGCTCCTGGGCGGGTTTACGTGTTCAAAAGGTCATTGTTTGTTAGGGTTTAGGGTTTGTTTTTTTGTGTGTTTTTGTTTCTTTATCTTTGGAATTGGAGCCGGCCACTGCCTTTTTGTTTCGAGCCGAGGCTTCCCCTCTATGACTCGGCGCAAGCAGACATATCCCTTGCCAGCCGCCGGTGGCTTAAGACGTGCTGGGGGGTTTGGGGCTTTCGGGTTTGGGGGTGTTGGAGTTTAGGGGTTGTCGAGGATCCAGGGGTTGAGGGCTTAGGGTTGAGGGTGTGATGAGACGTTAGGGTTTAGGGCTACCGAACCAAGTCCTTTTTGATCAAACGGCTTTGTATAATTGGGTTTCCGATTTTTGGAATGTCGCTAAAACCCTACACCGTAAGCCCCTGCACCCTAAACTTCTTGGTGGTTTGTGCAGACTCGAACAAATGATTGCGCTGCGGGCTACATCAGCCTCTTAATGAACAGCCCGTTGCTGGATCCGAAAGAATCCACAGGTGCGGGATTGTGGCACTCTTGCCACATCGGAAAGCTAGCCCTGAAGCAATGCCCAAGCCCTTCCTTTCGGAATACCTACTATCGGAGCCTAAATAGTTACGAATACTATTTGTCGGGGGTTCCTTATTTTATGTAATCATAGTCAGTGTATTATACCCCAAAGCCTTATTCTAATTATCAAGGCATCTATAGTATCTTGTCGCTTTTGAAGACTAACACCACGCCACCATCGGCTGAACATCCCAGGATCAAGCTCCTGGATTCGTTTCCGAGGTGACGTGGCCAGGCAGTTCGCCATCAGCAACCCCAGTGTGGGCAATGCGGTGGACTTGAACCTACAGAGCCCTGACAGCCATTGCTCTTTAAAGGGCTCAGCGTGTTGTCGAAGGGATGTCGCGCGTAGGGTTGAGCGCTTAGGGTATGCAGCAGCCAAGGCTTTAGTGCATCATGCCATGATGAGCAGGTATTATGACAGGGCATTGCGGGGCGGATGTGCTGTTTCGGAGCAGATTTAGACTTAGATAAGAGTCACTAATCAGAAGAAGAAGAGTAGTAACAACAATAGTAGCCCTAAGCCCTAAACCCTCAGTAGCAACAGCAGTAGTATTCGATTATAGTGAGGATCATGGAGTGTGGCATTGTCAGGGTGGTGAACCTAAAGGCTTTGCAATGACCCTTTGAACCCAACAACTGTCAATATCTAGTTGCTTAGGTTTCGAGTGGCACTTATTTACGATTTGGGAGTACATGATTAGGTGGTTTCCGATAGTACGTAGTTATGTAAGTTACGTTTTGGGAGAGTGTCTGTTCAACAGGTACTTGGACTTGTAGGGTGAGGCCTTCAGCCATCTTCCACTCTGCGTCCGACCTCAGAAGTCTGGGCCCCACGGTTTAGAGTCTAGGAGCTTAAGGTTTAGGGTCCTAAAAGCAGAATTTCCCCAAGAGACGGCCCTCTCAACCGGGATTGCCAGTCTCAAGCCTGAAGCCCTGCACTCCCAATTCAGCCCGAAAGCCATTCAGATTCCAGAATTTCCCAAAGTCCTAGACTCCTAGCAGGCTTTAGGGTTTAGGGGTTTAGGGTTCAGGGTTTAGGATTTAGCATGAGCCTGAAACACTAAACCCTAAACCCTAAACCCTAAACCTGAGCCATGAAATCAGGATCGTGAAGTTCCCCAAGTCCGCAGACAACCTGTGGCTCGTGTCCAACTCGCTGCGCTACCAAGTGGCCAAGCAGCTGAGACCCCGGGCTGCAGAGTTTCGGGATTCTCGGGATCCTAGACTTAGGAGCCCAGTAGCTAAACTTTAAATTTTTTGGTATATTAAACCCCCTACCAAAAGAAAAGTTTAAGCTTTTTTGGGCCAGGGTACTGGGCTTAAAGGTAGAGCTTCGGAGTGAACCGTAGTGGGGGTTTAGGGTTTAGGGTTTGGGGGTTTAGGGTTTAGGGGTTTAGGGTTTAGGGTATAGGGTTACTTTAGCGTTCAGTGCTCCTTCAAGATGTCTTGTCTATTTTGGTTGGAATAAAGCCCCAATGGACTTTGCTAAGCCGTTGTTTTGTTATGGTTCTTAGGGCGCGTAAGAGTAACGCGGAGAGCCAGCAGCTGCAAACAACAGACTGGTAAAGCTACAGTAGGGAGAGGTAGTGATGGTGATCTAAAGGTTCGGGGCTTACGGTTTCGGATTTAGGGTCTAAGAATAAATGCCAATAAATGCACAAAGGAAGTCAGCTTGTGTTTATAAATCGTGATCATTTCTAAGGTAGCTATAGTGGTATCAGGCAGAAAACACACTAAAGAGTCTAGGGGGCTTTAGGTAGCAACTCTGGGATATAAGCCGATCGACGTCTGCTTGTGCTCTGAACGTAGTAGCCTCAACATGGTTAGATGATGTAGTTTTCCTCCTTTGCAGTCCCCATGTATCCGGATCTATGTAGGGACATCAACCACCAAGGCCGCTTTGAATTCGTGAGTCTGATCTTTTGCACGAACCTTCCATCGTTCAGAGGTTGCATTGAATGCTTCACCCCGAAACCTGCACTTAGTGTTTAGTATTTTGCACAGGTACGTGCCTTTGGAAACGCCGGGTTAAGTGAGGACCCGGGTTACCTTTGCCTATCCAGCCCTACACCCAAAACCCCTAAACCTTAAA